TAGTCTGACATAAATGAATGGGCCAGAGGCCGTATGACATGAATGAATGGGCCAGAGGCCGTATGACATGAATGAATGGGCCAGAGGCTGTATGACATGAATAAATGGGTGTAGACACCCTATTTTTGACCGTCCTCAAGGCTCAGTTGTGCTTGCAGGTACATCCAGCCACAAGTTCGATTGCTCGTTGGGTATTCGACTTTCGCGGCGGAACGTCACAGGTTTGAGCTTATCAAACCCTGCATCCTTTCTGCCTCATTCTTGGACTATGACTTGGTCCTTCCAGAATGTTTCTCTTGGTGCACTGCCGACCACCTTTTGTACCTGCCAGCCATGCCTTTGTTGTTGCCGGCCATTGATAGAGCCTACCGGCCATCAATGAGCCACTGCCGGCCACCACTGATGGCCGACAGAACCCTTGTCTCAGCAGGTTTCACGCCAGATCTTTTGAGCCAACTGGTTTTCACTTCTTTCCCCTCCATACATGTGTATGGAGGGATGAAGCTCTTGCCAAGCTTGTTCAACAAGCTTTGCATTGCTCTCTTCTATATAAGGAGAGGCTCTCCCTCTCCATCAAAGGTTCAGCCATTTTAGAAAAGTTGTATCTCTCTCTCTCTCTCTCTCTATATATATATATATATTTCTTACTCTCTCTATATTGTTGTTGGTTTTGTGCCTTAAAGTCCATTTTTCTTGCACTTTTACACTACAACACATAGAGACACACCACCACCTTTGGACTGAGGTTCTTGGAAATGTTACTTGAGCTCTGAAAGTGAGTTTTCAACCCCTGAAGTTGCCGGTTTCGAAGTTCAACTTCAAGGGTGAGCACTTTCCCCTTTTTAGCATTTTTTTGTATCGCATTTTGGCCATCCTTGTATGTTGTTTTAGGCCTTGCTTTCAACTGAAAAAATTTATGTATTTAAGTGGTTTTGGTGGTTGTTTAAGGCCTTTTTTGTGTTAAGGGTGTTCTACCATCTTGTATGCCTTGTTTGGCCTTGTTTTGAGCCATGCCTGAAGGCCTTTGAGCTAGTCTTTGTTTGGCCTTTTAGCCACTAAAATCCAATGGATTTTTAGTGGTAGGCATGTGGTTTTGAGGCCTCAAATCAGAGGGGGTGACCCCCTCTCTTTTTGTTTTTGTTTACTTGAGTTTTTGGCCTATCAAAGGAGCATGTATCCCTATACTTTTGAGGCTTGGTTCAGGCACTTTTTTGTGACTTTTAGGACCTTCCATGACTCTGTTCATGGCTGGTTTGGTCATCTTTTGCATGCTCCATATATTTGTAGAACAAATCTTACGTACTAGCTTTATGTGCATGATGTTTTGACTCATCATTCTAGCATATTTTGGCTATGCTCCAGCATGATTTTATTCTTATTTTGGGCTGTTCTAGGACTGTTTTGGACTGCCATGGTCATATCACTCTTGTTTTGTATACCTATAGTGTAAATGTTTTGGCTACCCATGGGTGTTGAGGCCCCTACCATGCCATACATGTGATGTTTACGTTCTTTGCCATCATTTCGAATGTTATTTCAGTCCATGAAATGTGGTCATACACCCGCATTTGACATGCTTTAAATGCCTTGAAGAGTTTGTGTTTTATGCCTCATGAATGGATCATTGTGCATGCCATTAAGCTTAGGCCTTTGGGTCATCATATCAGTGCATTTTTGGTCCTGTTATGCCATGATGTAACTCTATTTTATGCTGTCCAAGTCATGCCATGTTTGGTTTTAATAGGTGTAATGTATTACCCCTTTTGTAGCCTTGCATGCTCCATGTTTTTGACCTTTGTTCTAGCTTGTATTGGCTAGGTTCAAGAATGTTTTAGTCTCACCTTGACTTGCCTTGGGACTGTTTGAGGTGCCCTTAGTCCTTCGGGGCTTGCCTTGCATGGCCATGGTTTAAGTCCCTCTGTTGGCTTCGTACTTTGAGCTTTCTTGCATGCTATGTTTGACTTGTTTGGGTGGTTTGGCATCATTCCTTGCATGGTTTCAGAGATTACCTCATTGCCACATTATCATGATTGTCACTCTTTGCTCATGTTTGAGAGTTGTGTCCTTATGCTTTAATTCTTGGGCTAATGCATTGTGAATGCATACCTTGCTTTGGTGCCCTCATTCCAACACTTATGGCCACTGATTTGGAGCATGACTGAGGTCTACTCTTTTGGTTTAAGTCCATTGTGTATGCTATGTATATTGCATAGAGTATGCCACCATTGCATTGAGCATGCTAATTGACAGTTGATGTAAGCATTAGCATTGCGCATGCCATTAGCTTTGTTAAGTTAATCATACTACCTTGCATTGAGTATGCCATGTAGTTGCATGTTTGCATGCTTAGGACATATTGCATGTTTTCCATGCTTGTGTTGCATTGTTGTTTGGATTAAGTATTAATCCGAGCACGAGAAACGAGGGACGTTTCATACTTTAAGTGATGGAACGTGCCTCAATTCTCGGTCGCCAATGCTCTTGATGACACATGATAGTGTTTTAGGCGTTATATGTTTGTTTGCACATTCACTTTACATTGATTTGCACAAGTTGGATCTTTGGCCATCATGCATCGGGATGCGTGATTGATGGTTGTGGATCCGATTATGCCTCCCTCTTGATGTTTTGAGGTGATATGGGGTGGCATAGTGCGTATATACCCTTGGGAGACCCTCCATTTTCTCTATTTTGTGCTCTGCTGCAGCTTGGCGTCCCAGCACATCAGTGGCCGGTAGTGCCTTGTAGATGGCCGGTAGTCCTTCATTCTCGGTCGGCAGTGCCCACTCTTGGTCGGCAGGATGGTCGGCAGTGGCTCCCCATGGCCGGCAGGCCACTGATGTATTCCCCAGACTAGTTTTGGCAAGGTTCAGTAGGAATTCCTTGAGGACACCCTGCAGATAGAGCCTCAAAAGAGCATCTGGAGAGCTTTCGGGACAAGAACCGAGCATGCATCCCCTTCTCCTCCAACCAGAGCTGGAACAACATTATTTACTGTTTTCCTTACTTGTTAGTTAGCATTTGTTGTTTGTAACTAATTAATTTGTTAATTAATTAACTTTTGCAATAATTAGTTGTAGCTAGTTATTCATTCGGTTATGTAATAATTAATTAGCTTGTTAGTTAGTTAATTAGTTGGTTTGTATTATTCATTCAGACCCTCCGTTGAGAGGGCGAATTTCGTAATAAGTGTGCGTGCGTGTGTGAATGTCTTCTAACCCCACGTCTTTCTCCCTTTTACTTAACCGCTTACAAAGGTTAGTTCTAGGGTATATTTTCAATTAGCATCCTTATGGTTTGCATGCGTGCATCTATTCATCAGTATTGCATGCACCGGGCTCGGTGCATCATACTAACTGCATCATATTTCGATTCCAATTTGAATACATGATTATCAATTGCTGCATCTCACAAACCATTTTAGAATAGCCAAGCCTATTTCTAGTTGCATTTTGCATGTGTTGCATTAGCCATCTTAACATGAACTAGGATCATGCATTGATTACTAACTAGTTTCTGTTTTGGCTCGGAGTACACTGTGAGTGTTTACGCATTAGCATATTGCATGTGTGTGAGTGTAGCCATGATAGCATGCTTGCCATGAGGCTATTTGCTTAATTGATATAACTGCTTGAATGCTTGCGGGTGGAGGTTGGATTGTTTGAATTGGAACAATTCATCAAATCCACATTTTAGCCGACTTATGAGTAGCAAACTTCAAACCATTTTCCAAACCAACGGATATGCAATGCTTTGTTCCAAATTAGGCGATCTAGTCTATACTTGTTTTTGTTGTACGCATCACGTAGTATGATTAGCTAATTAACCAGAATAAGAGCACATGTGTTTTCAAAAATAAGATATCATGCTTAGTAGTGGCCGATCTTTGATCGGGCGAGCGGGGGTGCTCATAGATAACCTTCCCCAATCGTACCCAAGTTCCCGAGCCGAGGCAACTTTGGTGATGACGGACACGTGGCCTTAGGCAACGAGTTAGGGTTTCCTAAATTTCCCCAAAAATAAAATATTTAGGTGGCGACTCTGTATCTGGCAAAGCAGTCCATGTTTGGCACTTCTTTCTTAAAAATCAGTTTTCCAAAACGATTTGCCGGATTTGGACTCTTTGGTGATCTATCGGTCTTGCATTGCACTTTGCGAGATGAGATTCAGAACCGTGACATTGAGTCTGAATTGTAGTAGCTCAGAACAAAACGAGATTCGCGCCTTCGCAAGAAGAGTGGATATCGGAGAGTTCCCGGGAGTGCATCTACAGTTTCTGGCAACTCTGCTGGGGATTTAGAGAGCTTGACTCGAACTCATGATATCTTGTTTTGTCTACACTTATGTGTTTCTTTGCATTGCATTTGCATTGGTGCGCCTAGGACACCGTGTTTGCCGTATGCTATTCCTGAACGGTTTGCCGGAGGCTCGCTTTGAGAAGCAGATTGACTGTCATTTTATTCGTCAACACGTTACTCGTGGTACTGTCCATCTCCATCCCATCTCCTCTGCTGATCAACCTGCTGATATCTTCACCAAAGCTCATTCTCCTGGCCGCTTCGTTGAACTTGTCTCCAAACTCCAGTTGGTTGCTCCTCCTTGAGTTTGCGGGGGGCTGTTAACATATGTATATAATATTCATATACTTATTAATATAATCTAATATGGAGACAGCTTTAGTATATAATATAATATAGTATGTAATATAATATAGTATGTATATAATAGGAGCTTTAGCTTTCGGCTTGTCTCTTCTTTCAGCCGCCCACTTCCTTTCGGTGTGCCTTTTTCTTATTTTAGTGATGTATACCATAATGATGTTTGTATTCAGCTCTCCTATATAATGGAGCCTCCATTTGGTTTGTAATCAGAGTGTTAATAATACAAAAACCGCTTTCAATATTACTCTCTCAACTCTCTCAATTTCTCTTTCACTAAGAAACTTTAAGAAAAAAATCACTCTAGAAGATCCTTGCTCCACACTTTGAGCATGTCCTCAGCCGTGCGAACCTCTGTGACTACCATTAATATTAGGAAAATTGAGCTCTGGATGTATTTGCCATAATAGAAATATCTGCAGTGATTGAGAAAAATAACAAAGATGGGCAAACCACATGTTTTAGCTATACCTGCTCCTGCTCAAGGCCATGTCCTTCCCATGCTGGAGATCATGCAATGCTTAGCCAGACATGGTTTCAAAGTCACGTTATGTTGTGTTTGGTTAGGGGATTTGGGGAGGGATTTAAAAAGGAAAAGAGAAAAGGTGTGTGAAACTATGTGAAATGTAGGTATATTTTTTTCACATTTCACCTACCTTTTCTATTCCCTTTCCAAATCCCTCCTCAAATCCCTTAACCAAACACAGCATTAGTGAACACTGAGTTTACTCAAGAAAGAGTCATCAACGCATCGACAGGGAAAGACAATATTATAGAGGATCATATACATCTGGTTTCAATCCCGGATGGGTTGGAACCCTGGGAGGATAGAAATGATATGGGGAAGTTAACACAAGCGAACTTGCGGGTCATGCCTCTAAAGCTGGAAGAGCTCATACAAAAGATTAATGGATCAGACAATGACAAGATCACTTGCATTATCGCAGATGAGTTCTTGGGATGGGCCCTGGAAGTTGCAGAAAAGATGCAAATCAAGCGAGCTGCCTTTTGGCCTGCGGCAGCTGCAACCTTGGCTGTGGGATTCCGCATCCCACAGCTGCTTGATGATGGGATAATAAAAAATGATGGTAACAACTCATCTACTAACTCTTGATTCTTTGGATACAGCATAACATATTAAAACGGAGACAAATTTAACAATTAGTTATGATTATCTGTATGGATATATAACACATCATGGGGGCTCAAGAATTTATTATGCTGGGTGACTAGAGAAACATTTTGGAAAATTATCACGGTGAATAAGCTTGAAGATGAACATGAGGGGAAACAAGCAACTCATGTAGTTCGAGGAATAAAAGACTAGAAATAATCAAACAAAGCATATTTTGTCACTATAGAACAATGTTCAGCCTGGAAGCTTACAAGTAATTCATAAATGAAGCATCCTAAACATGATAACTAAGCTCTACTTCAAAAGGGTTCAATAAGTTTGAAGGATGGTTATTAGAGGATGATCAACAAAACAGCATCAATAACAAATAATAAAAGTAAAAACTAGAAGGTAGGTGTTTGGCATGTCCCTTACTTGCAAACTTATTTAGTAGGGTAGTAGCTTTGGAGGTCCCGTTTCTCACATTTACCATTGTCCCCAAACTTCATTCTTTCAACATTTGTCTACTTTCTAAATAGTCAAGCATGCCCTTGCCCCTGTCTAGTGTGTGATCCACTGATTCACTCAGTTACCCTTTCTTACCGCTAGAGTCCCTATCACTTGTTAAAGCCCTATCAGACTACTGATCCATCCCTTGTTTGCTGATTGAAGAAAGCCTCATATGATCTCAAACAAGCGAGAGAATCCCTATATATTTTATCAGTAAAGCCTAAAAGCCTTGCAATCTTCCTTAATACTATTCATCAATATAAGGATCACTCCTGCTTTTCCCCCATAGGAATGGTCTGAATCCTAGCAAAATGACCTCTCAATCCGACGACCTTGACTGAAAAGCTCCCAATTAGGTCAGTATTTCAATAAAGAGATAGCATACTTTGAACCTAAAAATCTGAATTATGGCTTCAATAAAGAGATAGCGTACTTTAAGCTTTTGCTGAGTCAAAGGAGATGCGATAGCTAGATTATGGCTTCCTCAAAATCTGAATTAAGAATGTTTACTGTTTAGGAGAAAATTATAGATAAAGACGATCGAAGAAAGCAACAGTTAGCTTAGCGCAGCAGTTTTGTTTCCAGGTGACCCCTTGAATGAACGACCAATAAGTGGCAGATTGGATGAAAGGAAACTAAGGAATCGATATCATTCATATCTCTGGTGTCCCCCACATCTAACAACATTGCATCTGGCATTACTCAAGTTGCAAGTGTTGATTATTCTAACACATTTGCCCTAGTTGCCAAGACCAACTCCTTACAAGTCCTCTCGATTGCTGCTATTCGCCATTGGACTCTCCATCAGTTAGATGTTAAGAATTTTTTTCTTCATGGTGACTTACATGAAAAGGTCTGCATGCACTTGCCACTTGGATTTTATCCTCAGGGAAAGGGAGCGAAAGGGCACCGTCCAAGATTGGACTTGATAGAGCTCCAGTCGATGTGCTTAACAACATAGAAATAGGTCAAGGGTTCACCTTCATTTAGTATTGCTGGCCCTCTTAGCTTGATGAGCTCTTCGCCTAGTAAGCTGCCTTTGGCCATCATTGCGCATCTATCAAGGTAACCGCAAAGGTATGCACAAACAGCATGAGCTTGCAAGGTTCAACATTGTGATGGAGGGGGGGAGACGTTTTTTCTATGTGTCCAAACATAAACATACATAGATCTTACTATGATAAAATTGTTAGGAGGATTCGTTCTGCATCAACAAAAAATTTATCCCTTTTCAAAAAGTAACGGTCCGCATCATGATGTAAGGTAACCAATTTGGTAATCCTTTTTTCTATTGTTATTGTAGACATCACTTTATTTTTAATAAGTTATTAATTTATTATTATCCTCTTTTTTTCTTTTTCTTTTTTTTTCTTTATTTATTTTTTTCACAGGAACACCTACGAGTAATCAGATGATTCAACTATCACCAACCATGCTTGCCATTAGCACAACACACTTTTTGTGGGCATGCATGGGAGACTTGACCACACAAGAAATTATTTTTGAAGCTACTGTAAGAAATAACAAGTCTGTGCAGATGGCAAACTGGCTGATTTGCAATTCGACTTATGAGCTGGAACCTGCAGTATTTGCCCTATTTCCAAATATCATGCCTATAGGTCCACTTTTGGCAAGCAATCAGCTAGGAAATTCAGCAGGCTACTTCTGGCCAGAAGACTCAACTTGCTTGGAATGGCTTGATCAACAGTCAGCAAACTCGGTCATCTATGCTGCATTTGGGAGCCTTACCGTTTTTCGTGAGATCCAGTTCCAAGAATTGGCTTTGGGGCTTGAACTCACTAACAGGCCATTCTTATGGGTTGTGAGACCAGATATGGCTGATAAGAACAACGATGCTTACCCAGAAGGATTCAAAGAAAGAGTAGCAACTCGTGGGCAATTGGTAGGTTGGGCACCTCAGCAGAAGGTCCTGGGTCATCCTTCTGTTGCTTGCTTTCTAAGCCATTGTGGCTGGAACTCTACCATGGAAGGCCTAAGCAATGGAATCCCTTTCCTATGCTGGCCATACTTTTGTGACCAGTTTCTTAACCAGAGTTACATTTGTGATGTGTGGAAAGTTGGATTGGGGTTTAACCGCAATGAAAGTGGGATCATCAAAAAAGAAGAAATTAAGGAAAAAGTGGAGCAACTGCACAGCGACAAGACAATCAAAGCAAGGGCTTTGGATCTAAAGGAAGTGGCTGCAAAAAGTGTTAAAGAAGGTGGCTGTTCTCACAATAACTTTAACAATTTTATTAAATGGTTGAAGGCATAGACAAGTTGTTTAGGCTGCAAACATGCTTGATTTTATTTCTTGGTTTGTGTCTTGAATTTATTAATTGTATGTCACTAAAACTGGACTTCGTAATATCTCTCCCAAACAGCTATGCTATGCTCTTCCTCTCTTATTGTGCTTCCATGCTCCCAAGGCCTCCTGCCCTTTCGGGTACGTTTTGAAAGTTATTACATGCCTTTTATTAAAAAGATTATACTCTATTCCAATAAAGCAACCAAGCAAGAAGCAGACCAGACTGACAAGCTGAAGTGCTCACCAGAGAGAACATGATCTAATTGAATAACCAAAAGTACCCAAAGAGTCAAATAGGTTGGGAAGAAATAGTCTGAGCTTAGGTTGGACAGCATACATCTTGGTTGGTGTGTCAACCGGCAAGAACATGATCAAATTGAAGAGACGAAAGCACCCAAAAAATCAAATAGCTCGGGAAGAAAGACTCTGAGGTCAGGTTGGACGACATACATTTAGATTGGTGCCACCACAACTAGATTTTTCGACCTTACTATGCGTTAGACATGACAGTTAATGCAATAAGAGAACTGTGAGAATGTCGTTCCTGTTACTAGTTTTATAACAAAAATCATTTTTATTAAACAAATTATTTTTAAAAAAAATCAAACTTTAAAAAAAAAAAAATAAACTTTATACAGAAAATGAGACAAGCAACATAGATACTAGCAGCCATTGTAGCACATATCATCCACTGGCTGAGTACCATTGTATCAAATATATTTTTTCCTCCATCATGAAACACTTATAAAGAAGAGATATTAAAGGTTGAAGATGGTATCTAATCTGTGAGACAGAAATTTCTGATAGATAGTATCTTCAAACTAACAAGATTACCCATACCACTGGAATTTCAATATACAAATCCTATGAATCCTTTACTAGTATTATTTGCAGTGTAATTAATGAAATTCAAGCGGTGGAAACATGTCAATATCAAATAAAAGCTTCTTTCGAAATGCACATGCCTAAATGTTGCAAATTCATGTGGAAAACCAATATGTGCATTATGTAAGCCATGCTATGTACTAGTTTGTACTAAATTAGGTTATTGTGGTTGATTTCTTGCCAACCTTTTCTTTCTTTTTCCTTGGTCTAGGTGCTGCTTTTGTTCTGCTGGTAGTCTATGATTTTCAAGATTTGTTTGCAGCTCTCCTTGGCTTTTTATTGGATGTATTGCCATGCACCTCTGTTGTACTCTTTATTTTACATCAATATATTTCTTCGTCTTTTTTACCGATTAAAAACAAAAAAGACTCTAGTTGCTAATTGGAAGTTAAAAGATAGTGGTGGGGCTCAAGAAATATAATCTATCAAGTTTCAAATCTTAAATGGAACAACACAATGTATTTCACAGATGAAATTGTGAAACCAACACCTGAAATTGCACAACCAACAGCTCTTAGCACAAGGTCATAACTGAAATTGCACAACTACCTATTTTATTTCATTCTTTAGTGGCTCCGCCATATGCTGTTGTGCTTTTAAAAAGTCAGCACAATTCTATGAAAAGTTTATTTGAAACTTCATTATTAGATGAACCAAAATTTCAGGTTACGTATGACCGACTAAAATAATAATTTTGAGGTTCATTCTTAATCCATTTGTTTGGGTATAAAATATTTTCTTCTAGTGTTTGGTACAGCAAAAACCATTTTCCAAACGAAAGTCCTGTCAATGTCACCACACTATCACCTCTACCTCCGGCCCCCCGCTGCTGCCACCACCACCAGACAACCATTAGTGTATTGGTTTCAAAGACGCAACAAAATATGAAAAAAAAAAAGAAGAAAGTCTTGGGAAAAAAATTACTGTAGATATTATTTTCCATTGGAAAAATATTTGATGCCAAAACAAACGAAGCGTTAATATGCACACATTAGATATCTTTCTTGTATACTTGTGTTTCTTTCAATCCTTGCATTTAACATGTTGTACTCATGAATTTATGGAATCTAAGGCTAATCAAGAAGTAGATTGTGGAAGAAAAGATAGCACTACAACATATAAAAATTTTAGAGACTAAATATTTTGATCTCTAAAAGTGAAAATTTTGTTACAAAAGATATTTAGGGATCAATTTCTATTGTCATGATAATAGTCATTAAAAAGTCGTCCCGAAAATTCAAAAGCAAAGCTTCTAGCAACAAAATTTTGAAAATGTCACTAATAAATAGACTTTTACGGACTAAAAAATTTGGTCTCAAAATGATTTATTTTTTTAGACAAAAAGTTTGGTCACAAAAAGATAATAATTCATCACTAATGTCTAATTTTCGTTGCTAAAAATACAATGATGACACTTTTCGCAACAAAAATATTTGGTCCCTAAAAAATAATGGTCTGAATCCTAGCAAAATGACCTCTCAATCCGACGACCTTGACTGAAAAGCTCCCAATTAGGTCAGTATTTCAATAAAGAGATAGCTTACTTTGAACCTAAAAATCTGAATTATGGCTTCAATAAAGAGATAGTGTACTTTAAGCTTTTGCCGAGTCAAAGGAGATGCAATAGCTAGATTATGGCTTCCCCAAAATCTGAATTCAGAATGTTTACTGTTTAGGAGAAAATTATAGATAAAGACGATCGAAGAAAGCAACAGTTAGCTTAGCGCAGCAGTTTTGTTTCCAAGTGACCCCTTGAATGAACGACCAATAAGTGGCAGATTGGATGAAAGGAAACTAAGGAATCGATATCATTCATATCTCTGGTGTCCCCCACATCTAACAACATTGCATCTGGCATTACTCAAGTTGCAAGTGTTGGTTATTCTAAGACATTTGCCCTAGTGTCCAAGACTAACTCCTTACAAGTCCTCTCGATTGCTGCTATTCGCCATTGGACTCTCCATCAGTTAGATGTTAAGAATATTTTTCTTCATGGTGACTTACATGAAAAGGTCTGCATGCACTTGCCACTTGGATTTTATCCTCAGGGGAAGGGAGCGAAAGGGCACCGTCCAAGATTGGACTTGATAGAGCTCCAGTCGATGTGCTTAACAACTTAGAAATAGGTCAAGGGTTCACCTTCATTTAGTATTGCTGGCCCTCTTAGCGTGATGAGCTCTTCGCCTAGTAAGCTGCCCTTGGCCATCATTGCGCATCTATCAAGGTAACCGCAAAGGTATGCACAAACAGCATGAGCTTGCAAGGTTCAACATTGTGATGGGGGGGGGAGGGAGACGTTTATTCTATGTGTCCAAACATAAACATACAAAGATCTTACTATGATAAAATTGTTAGGAGGATTCGTTCGGCATCAACAAAAAATTTATCCCTTTTCAAAAAGTAACGGTCCGCATCATGATGTAAGGTAACCAATTTGGTAATCCCTTTTTCTATTGTTATTGTAGACATCACTTTATTTTAAAAAAGTTATTAATTTATTATTATCCTCTTTTTTTCTTTTTCTTTTTTTTTCTTTATTTATTTATTTCACAGGAACACCTACGAGTAATCAGATGATTCAACTATCACCAACCATGCCTTCCATTAGCACAACACACTTTTTGTGGGCATGCATGGGAGACTTGACCACACAAGAAATTATTTTTGAAGCTACTGTAAGAAATAACAAGTCTGTGCAGATGGCAAACTGGCTGATTTGCAATTCGACTTATCAGCTGGAACCTGCAGTATTTGCCCTATTTCCAAATATCATGCCTATAGGTCCACTTTTGGCAAGCAATCAGCTAGGAAATTCAGCAGGCTACTTCTGGCCAGAAGACTCAACTTGCTTGGAATGGCTTGATCAACAGTCAGCAAACTCGGTCATCTATGCTGCATTTGGGAGCCTTACCGTTTTTCGTGAGATCCAGTTCCAAGAATTGGCTTTGGGGCTTGAACTCACTAACAGGCCATTCTTATGGGTTGTGAGACCAGATATGGCTGATAAGAACAACGATGCTTACCCAGAAGGATTCAAAGAAAGAGTAGCAACTCGTGGGCGATTGGTAGGTTGGGCACCTCAGCAGAAGGTCCTGGGTCATCCTTCTGTTGCTTGCTTTCTAAGCCATTGTGGCTGGAACTCTACCATGGAAGGCCTAAGCAATGGAATCCCTTTCCTATGCTGGCCATACTTTTGTGACCAGTTTCTTAACCAGAGTTACATTTGTGATGTGTGGAAAGTTGGATTGGGGTTTAACCGCAATGAAAGTGGGATCATCAAAAAAGAAGAAATTAAGGAAAAAGTGGAGCAACTGCTCAGCGACAAGACAATCAAAGCAAGGGCTTTGGATCTAAAGGAAGTGGCTGCAAAAAGTGTTAAAGAAGGTGGTTGTTCTCACAATAACTTTAACAATTTTATTAAATGGTTGAAGGCATAGACAAGTTGTTTAGGCTGCAAACATGCTTGATTTTATTTCTTGGTTTGTGTCTTGAATTTATTAATTGTATGTCACTAAAACTGGACTTCGTAATATCTCTCCCAAACAGCTATGCTATGCTCTTCCTCTCTTATTGTGCTTCCATGCTCCCAAGGCCTCCTGCCCTTTCGGGTATGTTTTGAAAGTTATTACATGCCTTTTATTAAAAAGATTATACTCTATTCCAATAAAGCAACCAAGCAAGAAGCAGACCAGACTGACAAGCTGAAGTGCTCACCAGAGAGAACATGATCTAATTGAATAACCAAAAGTACCCAAAGAGTCAAATAGGTTGGGAAGAAATAGTCTGAGCTTAGGTTGGACAGCATACATCTTGGTTGGTGTGTCAACCGGCAAGAACATGATCAAATTGAAGAGACGAAAGCAACCAAAGAATCAAATAGCTCGGGAAGAAAGAGTCTGAGGTCAGGTTGGACGACATACATTTAGGTTGGTGCCACCACAACTAGATTTTTCGACCTTACTATACGTTAGACATGATAGTTAATGCAATAAGAGAACTGTGAGAATGTCGTTCCTGTTACTGGTTTTATAACAAAAATCATTTTTATTAAACAAATTATTTAAAAAAAAAATCAAACTTTTCAAAAAAAAAAAAAACACAACTTCACATATATACATATAGGCAAAATAATAACTACAAGACTTTGAAAACTGGATTAATAAAAGGAAAATATGAAGTGGAGTTGAAATAATATTATAGTAATTGCATCAATTAATACAAGGATTGTCCGAAATACGGATGGGTTATGATTTAACACTTTTATGTGGTCAAGGTATAGAGATAGTGACCAAGTTAGATATTTCACTTGAAACTACGTCGGCCATCCGCGTTTCAAACTGAATATCCAAGATTCGTCATCGAATAAAGAAATTCCAACTTTCAGAAAAATTCTCGTACAAGATGGTATAATCAAGGCTCAAGGTTGTCAATCTAGCAAATGGTATAATTGAAAAATATAAAGTAAAACCAGATGGTAATGACTTAATCTTGAAGTGAACTACATCAAATAAGGTTACAATTATGAAATGAGGATAGGACGATCAATAGAAGACTCATAGACATAACAGTATCCCCTACTTCTATATTGTATCTAATGTTAAACACATTGCCCTATTCAAAGTTAAAACCACTTCTCTTCGTAGGTGATCGTCAAATTATTTGAAGTCGAAACGCGTGGGTAAGGGTTGAACCTAAGCTCTGATACCATTCTGTAACGCCCCAACTTTCGGGCCGTTAAATACGTACAATAATACAACACAAGTAGGATAGACAAGTGTGAACAATGCCAAAGGTTTGCACCTTTGATACATCAGCCAGCTGCTGACCTAAACCCAGTATCCAGCCCTTGGCCGTTTGTCCAATGGGGCATGGATCTTGTTGGGCAACTTCCCCAGGCAACTGGGCAGAGAAAATACTTGCTGGTAGTAACAGATTACTTTACGAAGTGGATAGAGGTAGAACCTCTTGCCAAAATCCGACATGTGGACGTCAAGAACTTTATATGGAGAAACATCATCACCAGATTTCGGATTCCAAGAGCAATAGTTGCCGACAACGGAACGCAGTTTGACAGCAAACTCATCAAGAACTTCTGCGCAAAATTCAAGATAAAGAATTACTTTTCAACACCAAGTTTTCCCCAAAGCAATGGGCAAGCAGAAGCATCCAACAAAGTAATTTTGGATGGGATAAAGAAGAAGATGCAGGCAGCAAAAGGAAAGTGGGTAGACCAGTTGCCTAATGTACTCTGGGCATATCGGACTACGCCGAGAAGATCAACAGGGGAAACCCCCTTTGCCATGGCTTATGGCACAGAAGCAGTCATCCCTCTGGAGATCGGCACCCTAGGGATCAGAACCGACGGAGTAGAGAATGGCACAAATACTATATTTCTAGCTCGAGATCTAGATCTCGTAGAAGAAAGAAGGGAGAAAGCTGCAATTCATCTCGCAGCATACCAGCAACAGCTTGCCAGAGCTTACAACAAGAAGGTCAATCCAAGAGATTTTCAAGTCGGCGACCTAGTCCTGAGAAAAGTCGTCAGCAACAAGAAGGATCCCAGAGAGGGCAAGCTTGGCCCAAACTGGGAAGGACCCTACAGAATTACTTCGGTATTAGGCAACGGAGCTTATTCGCTTGAAGATAACGAGGGCAAAGCACTGTCAAGACCTTGGAACACTTGTAATTTGAAATTCTTCTATCATTAGATGTACATTATTTTTGGCCAAGGTCATCAATAAAATCTTTTCCCATTTCTTTAAACACATATGATTGATAAAGTTACATATTGGTGTTTTTGGAGACATGAATAATGAGAACCCAAGTAGAACTCAGGTTCACATTGGGGGCAGAGAGAAGACAGAGACACTTAATTCACTTGTTGAAATTTGTAGCAATTTACAAGTTGAAGTTAAGCGGAGATGGTTCTTTATCTTCACTTGTTGAAATTTGTAGCAATTTACAAGTTGAAGTTAAGCCGACATGTGATCATCTGTTGAAATTTGCAACAATTTGCAGGTTGAGGTAAAAGCTAAGTATATTGTTTAAACACTTGTTGAAATTTGTAGCAATTTACAAATAGATTATTGTTTAACACTTGTTATGTTAATCCTTGTTGAAATTTGTAGCAATTTACAAGTTGGAGTCAAGATTCTTCCTTATCTTCACTTGTTGAAATTTGTAGCAATTTACAAGTTGAAGCTAAGCCAAGATTACTGTTTCTCTTCGCTTGTTTAAATTCGTAGCGATTTACGAGATGAAACAAAGCCAAGGTTATAACTAAACACTTGTAGCAATCTACAGGTTGGTTAAACCAAAGAAGATGCTCAACACTTGTTGAAATTTGTAGCAATTTACAAGATAACGTTAAACCGACATATGATCATCTGTTGAAATTTGCAGCAATTTACAAGTTGAGGAAAAAACTAAGTATGTTGTTTAAACACTTGTTGAAATTCGTAGCAATTTACAAATAGATTATTGTTTAACACTTGTTATGTTAATCCTTGTTGAAATTTGTAGCAATTTACAAGTAAGCTAGACCGAGATCACCGTTTAAACACTTGTTGAAACTTGAGAAAAAGTTTGCAAAATTAACATTGAGTAGTATATGTTTCACACTTGTTAGAATTTATGAAAAGTTTGTAGGTCAGCATCTTGCCGAAGTAAAAGTTTTGTAGCTACTATACCCGAGGTATGTAACCCCGAGAAGATTGCACAAAGAAGGCAAAGTACGAAAGGCATACAAAAAATTCTAAGTATAGAATCAAACAGAGGCAGTCAAAGAAAAGGCAAAAAAGAATGCAGTCATTCAAAAAAAGATAGTTATGTTAAAATATCGAACACAAACAGAAGGCACATCGGCCGTACAGAGAAGCTTCTACTGTCCAGGAAACAAAAAAGTACAAAAGACAAGAAAAGAGGGACATCAAAGTTATGATTCTTCTACTTCAGGCGCAATTTGAGATTGGACCTCGGCCGATTCTTGGAGAACTACCTCGGCTAATTCCTGGAGAGCTACTTCGACAGTCTTTTCCACCTCGATTTCAGCGTCAATCTGCGCAAGGGTTTCTTCAAGACTTTTTTTGGCTGGAGGAACGTCAGATGAGGCCTGTTCAGGAGTAGTTTCCTTGGCAATTACATCACCATCATCATCTTGAGTCAGGTCCAAGACCTGCACATTCAGAGAAGGAGACTTAGGCCCAACAGCCTCCTTGGATTTCCTTACTAAAGCCTCATCCTCACCTTCCTCCTCATCTTCAGACTCAGATATAGATTCTTCTTCAGCTTGACTTGGAGGTGCAGAAGGAGGAGGGAATGGGAGAGGAATAGCTTCGGCCTTGCGCAGAGGTGAATCTTCAGGAATATTGAGCTTTTTGGCCAGGGACATCTAACCAAGGGAAAAGCCCCTGTTGCATGCCTGCCTAACTTGTAATTTGTATTCCTCTTTAACATCGGCCATTCCTTGGGCATAGGCTTTTTCGTCGGCCGCTTTGATTTCAGTGTCTTAAGTGGCCAAGGCCTCCTGAAGTTCCTTTTCGGCTTGGGCCTTTTTGTCCTCGGCTTCTCTCTTCTCGGCCTCGGTAACCTTCTTGATGGCCTCAGCAGATTTGGCCTTTTCTTCGGCTAGGGTTTGGGCTTTGGTGGCAGCCTCAGCCTGGTCTTCCAGTTTTTTCATTTTTGATTGAAGAGTTTTGTTCTCCTTTTTAAGGGCAGAAACCTCCCTCTTCATGTCGGCCAACTTTGCCCAGTTTTCAAAAGCTTGCATAGAGAAAGAGCGAGCATGTTGAATGGCCTGAGAGAGCACGGGGCAAAAATTATTACAAAATTTTACAAAGTAAAAGAGAAGACAAGTTTCCATGTAAAAACACTTACTTGGACAGAACGTTGGAGCATAAAGGCAAAGTTCTCGTATTCACTCATCTTGGCATTCCGCTCAAGATCACTTGGGAGAAGTAGGGCGGTACTGAGTGCCACGCCGATATTAATATCGTCGGCACTATCGCTGGCAAGAACAGGCTTATCTTCTAAACTAATTTCAGGCGTCCAAGGGACTTTTGGTATTCTGGACCCCGAGGTCGTCGCAGACGATGACCTCGGCTTCTTTGATTGTGTGGACTCTGATGGCTGTGTCTCAGCAGACTTTTTTTTGGGAACAGAAGTCGTCTTCTCACTCCCTGCCAATTATGAAATTGTCAGGGTATCCTCAGCCTCAACTTCTGTGGCTTTAGCCTTTGGCTGGGCTTTCTTGGTTCGTTTCGGCTTTGGTGGGGGCATGGTTTGCGTCGGCTGAGCATTGACGTCAACAGGGAGATCGGCAAGGAGGTCTTGAGCAACGGGCTTTGGGCGACCCATCTCAGCAGTTTTGACAAGTCTTCGCCGACGTTTTCATTCTTGTATTGGGACCAAGTATGGGGCCAAAGTAGATGGTTGATTGGTTGGGCCAGATGTTGACTCTTGATCTGTTCGTGATGTAGAGGCGGTTTGAGTTGTGGCAGTAGGAGGAGAAAGGCTTTTCTTCTTTCTTTTGGGGACGTCGGGCAAAACCAATTTGTATATAGGAATAAAGTTGAGAAGAA